ATCTGAGGTGTGATCACCCAGCCCATGTCTTCTGTCTTACGAAACAATTCCACATCAATGATATCATCCTGATAATTGCACCACACCAGTGTAATCACCCAGCAACGGTGCACAAATGGTGAGAACATCTTGACTGGCTTCATAACCGTCTAAAATTCCATCTGTGACTGGACTGGAGTGGGAAACCAAATCCGCAGATTGTGATTGGTCTTTGTACTTCCTTTGTTGATGAAAAAGTGATTGTATTCGCCAAGCCACAAATTGTCAGCAGCTGGCGTGGGCTGTCCTCTTCTCACCTGACCTGACGCAGGCAATTGAGGTGGTGAGATAGTCTGGATAAATATCTCAAGCAATTGTCAGACATATGGTGTCAGAAATCAACACTAGCCCCAATGAAGTTAGTAATTTGGGGTGTGGTTTAAAGTCGACACAACCCCATTTGCAATGCATTTCAGGACTTCTCATTTGAAAGAGTAAAACTGGTGCATTTAAAGTCACAACGAAAATGAACTAAATGTCATTGTTTTGTCTTTCAAAGAGGTCAGTGCTTAAGTTATCCATGCTCCACTGAAAAGGTCAGAAAAGGTGGAGCAGAACGGAGGATAAAGACGTGATGAAGAGCTTCACTGCTCCTTCAAGCATCTCTTGTCAGAGTCTGATATCACAGAGGGCAAAAAACGGTTTAGATGTCCGCAGGTATGAAGGTCTGGACACATCACTGCTCTGCCAAACCCACAGCTTTCAACACACTCATATATCTGACCGCAAAAGTCTGCAGCACTTTTTATACACTAGTATTTCCTTCCAAATGTTGCCAGACATGTTCACTCACTGTCGATTAGCAGTATTGACATACTACTTGAGTTTAGGATAAACAGACAAACTGTTGTATTGAGGGATTGAACAGACACACACACTCATCTTTCAACCTGTCACAATGTATTCACATCTCAATGGCAAACATATCCAGTTAGAGCTGCCAACACTTTACATAAACAACAAAACTAATCTCAATGAGTACTGCCAAATAAACACACACAGGCCTGGAATAGTCAGGACACTGGTGCCAGACCACAGAGTGGGTGGTTAACGTGTGCCATCATAATCACATCTATTACACACACAAACACACAGAGAGAGATCTTGAGCTCTTCAGTTAGCAAAGAGTGACGCAACAGTGTGAAACGTCAGTGATGAAGCTTATCTTCCTGCACAAATCACTCACATGCTGATTCTCTGACTCACTTCCCAGAATTCTCAGAGGCAAACAACCACACACAAGTTCATTGTGGAGGATAGAACAGAGACACGATCGGTTTTATCTGACAGCAGAGGCTTCAGATTCTTAGACTGGTATTTTATCAGCATGTAAACTCATTTCACTCACTCAAATTGTAATATATTGTAAAATGTAATTTATCGGTATAAAGCTGAATTTTCAGCAGCCATTACTCACATTACACATTCTTCAGTGACACATGGTCCTTCAGAAATCATTATAATTTGCTGCTCAAGAAACAATAACATAAAACTGAGCTATATTTTCAGCAATATCATCCAGCCCTAGTCAATAATCAATCTGGGAACAGACAACATTTAAATGTTATATGTTTATATAATACAGTTTTTGCAGTTAACATAGGTCATATAAATATCCTATACACATCCCCAATACAGTTTTTTTTATTTGTTTACAGTACATGTATACTTCTGTTGTAATTATGCTTGGAAATCGATAATAATAAAATATATATTACAAGTACAAATACTGTTTAAATTACCCCAGTATTTAAAGTAATTACTGTGCATATGATTTCTGTTATGTATTGTAGTGATATGTTTTTTTAGTTAAAAAAAGTTAAAAATCAAGGCTGTATTATTCTCCATCAATTTGCACATTATGCAATCAGACTAATGAGATGGTTGCCATGGTTACATATTTTTATGGGGGGGGGGGGGGGGGGGGGTGTAGCATTAATAACACACTGCATCTATCAATTTACTTGCACGCATTTATGGGCAGATTTTGACCATTCCAATGTGGCAGACATGTATGACAGCAATTAGCAACAGTTGCTAATGCATCATCTACTTGTTCATATCTACAGTATAGCAGCATGTCATGTTATTCAATCAGTATGTTCATCTCATCAGATGTGTGGCAGTGGTGACTTGATTAAAGGGCATCTCAATGGAAACTATGTTTTCCTAAGATTAATCCAGATATAAACCTAATGCTTCACCTGACATGAGCCAAGAGCAGTATGATATCAAAACTGAGCCATTTCTACTAAAGTATAATTTCCTGATCTATCAGCATAGACATCGGACATAGGATCATGTCTTGTAGACTGCAAAAACACCAGAAATGTGTGAATAGTGTGGCACTGTAATCACTGCATTCTTTACAATAGCTGTAAAACCACATACCACAAAAGCATGTGAGGGATCATGGGTCACACCTGTGTTTGATAGAGATTGCCAATGCCTGTCAATCCAGTTCTAATGCTCACTGGATTGACAGCTGCTGTTTGGTATTTTAGCAGCAGGCCACATCACATATTCCTTCCTTTAGAGCAGGGGCTCCCAATTCAAGTCCTTGTTTCTCTCCGCTCTGCACATTTTTCATGTCTCTCTTATCTGACACGCTCAGTTGAGGGGTGGGTTCCATTCAACCATATATGTGCTGTGAAGGGAACTTTAAAGAGTATTTCACCATTAAGGGAGATTCCAATCCGAAGCAGGCATTTGTATGCGGCTGGCCATTTAATATATATATATATTTATATACTTTTTAACCACAAATGCTCGTCTTGCACTAGCTCTGCGATGTGCCACGCATTACTTAATCACATTGAAAAGGTCACGCGTGACAGGTGGAAGTACCGACCTAGTGATTACAAAGTGAACATGCAAAGACTACAAACGCCCTTTACAAAAAAACAAAAACACAGGTAACAACGATGTCGGACGATTTTGAAGTTGGAGGAGAAAGTTAAATTGAGTTTTCCGCCTATGTTACGCATGAGCTTTTCAACGTTATTACACAATGCATGGCGCATCGCAGAGCTAGTGCAAGACGAGCATTTGTGGTTAAAGTATATATATATATATATATATATATATATATATATATTTTTTTTTTTAAATGACAGATCGTTTCGCTAGATAAGACCCTTATTCCTCAGCTGGGATCGTGTAGAGCCCTTTGAAGCTGCATTGAAACTGCAATTTGGACCTTCAAACCGTTCGAGCCCAGTGAAGTCCACAATATGGAGAAAAATCCTGGAATGTTTTCCTCAAAAACCTTAATTTCTTTTCGACTGAAGAAAGAAAAACAGACATTTTGGATGACACGGCGATGAGTAAATGATCAGGAAATTTTTATTCTGAAGTGAACTAATCCTTTAAACTCCTCTAATATGCACAACTTTGAGTTTCGTCTGTGTTTGATGACATCACAGAGTTTTGCAAATGAACGCATTTTTAGTGAATTGAACTGCAACAGATATCCCATGCTAAAGTGAGTAGTGAGCAGTGAACACTGTGTAGGGACCCCTTCAATCGGGACACACCCAAGTTGGAGCTCTCTTCTAATGAGCTGATGATCTGAATCAGGTGTGTCAGATAAGAGAGACATACAAACTGTGCAGAGCGGGGAGGCGCAAGGACTGGAATTGGAAACCCCTGCTTTATGGCGCATTTCCACTCTATCGTACGGTTCGGCACGGCACGGCTCGACTCACTTTTCAGTTGCAGTTTAGTACCGCTTCAAAGTGGGTGGGAGTATAGACTGATCGTTATAGTTGCGCCACCTTTACTGCAGTGACATTATTGTAAACGCGACAAACAAACATACAACACAGGAGCATATATATGGAATGGTTTTCTTGATTCTCGACATGTGGATGTTTTTCACTGCAAGACGAAGAAGTTTGTTTGTTTGGGTTTGGTGTCTCGTGCGCAAATCCAAATACTCTGGTAGTGACGATTCTCTCGGACCAATCAGTGATCTGCAGTGTTTACACATCACATTTTAGTATCGGCTCGTTTGGAACTTCAACCGAGGTAGTACTATTTAAGTGAGCCGTACCATGCAATGGAAAAGCACCAAAAAAGTGAGCCGTACCGACCCGTACCTTGCAGTGGAAAAGCGCCTTTAGAGAAATGGGAAGCTGTCTTTAGCATGAGCTCCTAAGTAAAAAGTTTGATACAAGGCTGATGCTAGAATACTGCTGATTCTGCAAAAGATTCAGCCCTACACATGGCAGACTGAGGCATATGTGATCCAGATGCAAGAAACCGCTCTATAGAGTGCTGCAGGATGACATATTTTTGTAGGCCAAAACCCAAAAACGAGACACATTTTAGCACTTCTGAATCCATCGTCCTGAAGTCAATGGGTTTTTTGAATGGGTTTTTGGTTAAATGCCTAAAATAAGGTCTGTGTTCGACTAAAGCTAGAGATATTTTCCCATTTTATTCTATGACATAAGTAATATCATGGCTGCTAGTGCTAACAAGTGTCTAAATGGGACTACAGAGGTTGTCTGGGACATTAACTGTTCGGTGTGATGCCGTTTAAACTCATCTACTCACAAGTCCACTTTCACAGCCTCATTGTGTTTATAATCATGCTTTTGCAAACTATCCTAACTCAACATTTTAGGATTTTTTTTTTTTTAATTAAGTTGTCCAAAGCTTAATGTTGGTGATGATACAAGTCATACGATCATGGTGTAGTTTGTTTATAGATAATGTTTAGCTTTTTACTTGTGTAGATTTAGCCTTAAAAATGTATAATGTAAGAACCAAACTTTAGTTGAGCTTATTTTCTGCAATAATCCAAAAGCCAACGGAAAACTCCAATTGGGTTTTTGTCGAGGGAACCAGGGTGATGCGAACTTACAGATTGGCCAACAAAATATGTCGCCACTGTAGCGCTTTATAGTGATCTCATGGTAAAAGGAGGATACATCCATATACTGAGTGGATCTTACCTGAACAGTTTTCTTGATTCTGTGAGAGGGTCCGGGATACTCTGGTGAATACAAGTCTGTCAGGAACAGGGAGTTGATGAGTGTAGACTTTCCCAAACCTGATTCTCCTGCAGGACAGAGAATAAGACATTACGTCAGGACGTGACTCACTCATCACTTCTGTTGTTTGTGAACAAGGACTGTGTGGAATTTGTGTCTGCAGATTTCCACACAATCTGTACAGCCATCATTCACAATGTTCTACACATTCTCCTCTTACATGTCTGTTTGATTAAATATTTTTAGTAACTTATGGTGCTTGCTAAAGCTAGGGCCCAATTAAATATGTTTTATTTATTCACAAATTCCATTTTCCGTTTTAATGGCTTAATTAAGTTTTAATCATTTTAAATCAATCTTTTAAAATGTAATTAATTTAAATAATAAAACAAAATACTTTATCAAATTAAGTACGTTACAATGGAGGTTTGATTAATAATATACATCCCTACTTTTGTTTTGTTAATTAGAAATTTGCCAAATTCTGTGACATTCCACGTTATACAATAAATTCTATTTTAAGAACTGGATTCCACGATTCTGTCTGCATTTTCCGCATTGGCGAAAATCATAGGGCCCTATAAGACACATCATTGCAAATCTACCAAAACTCAGCACTTGGAATGTCTGAGATGTTTCAGTTTTTTTAACTTAACTCCAAAAACAGGAAATCAGTCTAGAGGAGTGGCCTAATGTAATCAGTTTTGTATGAACTTATATGGGGTTGTTCCCAGCTTGAGTCTGAGAATCGCTGACAGCATCTGAAATTTGTGAAATTCCATGAACCACAAGAGAATACAACTATTTATCTGGATAGATGGAGAGAACTTTTAAACAGTCTGAAACTCAGACTCAACATGATAAAGTACAAACCAGGAGAAGAACTAGAGGGTGTGCTGAGAACCAAATAAACAAAGAGGATGTTCAAAAAAACTTGACAAACTTTATAAGTGGCGTTTCCATCTCTCATACTTAACCTTTAACCCTAAGTGTTAAACTGTGCTGGATTAATTGAATGCTAAAGTTTGTGCTATGGATATGAATAACTCAAATTACCTGGGTTGTTTAGAAAAAGGTACACGGTATCTTTTCTAACCAACTAGACTTATGATTTTTCGCCTAGTAGACTAAAAATACATTATGAACTCTTATGATTTGCACTACTGTTCAAAAGTTTGGGGTCCGTAAGACTTGAGTGTTTTTTTTTTAAAGAATTATCTTGTGTTCACCAAGGCTGTAATATTGTGAAATATTATTATAATTTGAAATAATGGTATTCTATTTGAATATATTTTAAAATGTAATGCATTTCTGTGAAGGCAAAGCTGAATTTTCTGCAGCCATTACTCCAGTCCGCTGATTTGCAGCTCAAGAAACATTTCTTATTATTTTAAATGTTGAAAAGAGTAATGCTTCAAAAAAAATTTTGGAAAGCATAATTATATTTTTTCAGGATTCTATGATAGAATTTGATAGAATTCATAGAATGCTCAAAAGAACAGCATGTATTTGTAATAGAAATCTTTTGTAACATTACAAATGTCTTTACTGGTACTTTTGATTAATTTAATGCATCCTTGTTGAATAAAAGTGTTCATTTCTTTCAAATAATAAAAATACTGACCCCAAACTTTTGAACGGTAGTGCATGTCAACAAGCAACTACACAAAACAACCTAGCACGCACCTAGAAATGCCTTAGCAACCACCTGAGGTAACCCAAAAAATTACTCAGAGCAAATGTATGTTAAATAAAAATATTGCTGACATTTGATTTCCACACACTTCAAGTGCTTCCCCACAATGCACGTCTCCAACAACAATTGACTTTTTCACAGAATAATTCCTCCCAAGCATCCGTGAGCAATCCATCAACTGGATGCGTGGCAACGTGGTTCCTGTAAGGCCTGGAACAAAGAGGACAGTGTGAAGGAAACTGGGTGCATGCTGGCACAGAGCAGCGCTGGGCTTCTCTCCTGACCTTTAACAAGTGCCCAACCCTGTGCCACTTCCACAGCCAGCCAAAGCAGCACGTAAAACAGGGAGAGAACCTTCAAACAAAGAAAAGCTTCTTTTCAAATCCTAAATGTTTTCCAGAAGGGCAGAACAACAGTGACCTCACCATTGCAAAAGAAACATCTTCCACTCACAGCCTGGAGGGATGCAAAAACCAACTGCTGTCTTTGAGCAGAATGAGGGCAAACCCAACAGGATTTATTTTGCTCTCTGAATGTGGTCTTTGAAAACAGGGAGTGAAATACGGTCTTCTTTAAAATGTCATAATGAATTAAGGAAACAATAAAAGCAGGCAGCGAGTGGTGGAGCAAAGCGGGTACTGGGGTGCACTTCTGCCCTTCTCTGGACTGGAACCAGTGCAGCTGAGAGACCAGAAAAACAGTCACGATGGTGGAGTTACTGCTGGAAGACACATGATACTGAATAATAGGGCTGCCAGAGTAAAGAATTTCCCTGCTACAAGAAATCCACATAAAAAGATTTTATGGAATTGTGGCTTGTAGGAGTTATGGTATCGTAACTTGCAGCTGTTTAAGGACACTAATTTAGTACAAAATCTTTAAACAGATAGTTCACCAAAAATAAACATTATACTCAAATAACTCATCCTCATGTCACTTCAAATATCTGTATGACTTTCTTTCGACAACGCAAAAAGTATGCTCTTCACGTTGTTCATTTCCATACAATGACAGTGGACAAGTGCTTCAAAAAGGATAAATTCTGCTGCAATTATGCTAAACTACGTTGTTTCTCCCAGCTAAAAAAAAAAAAAAAAGTGTAAAAATTGTGTTTTTGAATATTGTGCAAGTAAGATTTGAGTAATGTGTAAATACAATTTGAGAGCTGCACCCATGAGTTCCTTTGTCCTTTTTGGAATTAAACAGCAGCCATTAACATTCATTTTTATTGTATGGAAAGGAACGATGTAAATATTCTGCTGCTTCTTCTGTGATCCATGCAGGGTTCAAAATAAAAAAAAGCAAACATCAGATAAGAGTAACAATTGGCTTTAGTGTGTAAAGGGCAATCACACTACACTTTTTCACTCCATTGACTTTCATTCATATGCATGTTAATGCCAGAGACCGGAAAAACGCAATCTCATGCAAGCTGCAGGGTGGCAGCGTTGCAGGAGTAGATTGTATATTTAGGGGTCCAAGCACAGAACGCACTGGTACCCTACTGAGTTTGAGTTTTTTCTTTATTCTTTCTGCCTCAAAAGTGTATGGGTGTCAGAGACCATAAATCATAGAGACCCAAACTTGGCAGGAATTTCTTATCATGCACCACTACTCAGGAGCAGAGACAGACACCCACCTGACACTAAAGGCACTATAAGGCGATTTGCATTTTGGATCATAACTTTATTTCACGCCATAACATTTTCGGGACAATTTGAATTTTCTTAAAAACCTGCTTTTTCAAATTCCTCCTAGGCTGTTGGTTAGATCTTCACCAAATTAGGCACCCAGCAGCAAGGGATAGTGGTGGTGGCAAAAAGTTACCTGATTCACTGAAGCGTTGCAAAGTTATTAGTGAATTAAATGGCCTGGTGTCACTCATTATTCATGAATTGACCTATATGTTGTGAATGCAACCTTAACAAAACTTGATACACAGTGTTAATATAACAGCCTGATCAGAACAGCAAAGTCCACAACAGCTATAATGAAATTGTTGGAATAACTTTCAGAATGTTTTTTTTTTTTCAGCAGATGAATAAAAACCCTCACACCCAATCAGAATCCGCAGATTTGAAGAATAATAGTCTGACCAATGCTGATTGGCAACGCAAATTTGTGTCTACAAGTAAAGAAAACATCTGATTGAGCTGAATTTTTACCATCAAAAGCATATACTGTATAAGATGTCTGAATATTTTTTTCTCTTCCGGTGATTTATGTGAAATATAAAAGCCTCCAAAATGAAAATTTGAGGAACCACATTACAAAGCTATTGTGACGGGTGCAGGTTCACTTTCTGTGTCTAAAACAGTTATTACATTATTTGTTTGTTTTTTCTTGCATATTTGTAGCAAACATTATAACAGAGACAAAAATATTTTTTCATAAAAATAATGTGAAAGTTTATGGTTGGTCAGTTTTCTCCATTTACTTGCAATTGACAGAATGTACAAAAGGGTACATTCTAGTTCCATGTAGGAAGAAAGCCATTTCGGTTTTGAACAACATGATGGTGAGTAAATTACAACATTTTTTTCTTAACTATTCCTTTTAGTTAAACTCTGAATCGCCCCATGCAAGAGATGTAAGTGCACATACAGACAGAGTTTAGCCTTGAGGAAGGAGAGAAAGACATTGATAAATGAACAAAAAGGTGACTATGGGCAGAAGGTTTACCATGTTAACACTAGAGCTAATTACAGAGTCCTTCATTGAACTCTGTGTCAACAATGATGATAGATCAGGGCTTTCCTGTCAGCCGCCCAAAAATGCAAAACTGCGGTATCTGTAACCCGCCCTGTCTCTGTGCGTTACGAAACTCACTGTTTGTGCTGTGTCAAATCCTAACAGGCATGCTTTGAGCAGATGAAAAACAACACACAACAAGCATCCATCAAGCCTCCTGTATTGCACAACATTAACCATTACAGAACACTTCTCAGACACAGCAAACACTACAATAAGTCCAAACTGTTTAAATGGAGGCAATCTAAACAAGAGATGTTAAGTGTTACGGAAAGCCACAGAAGAGCGGGGTGAGAGTCATGCCACTGGAGCAGTTCAACCCAAAGACCACCAGGCGGATCATTAAGGGTCCAACACTCTTCCTTTAAAGGAAATATCCCACAGCTGTGTAAACCAGGGGGCTTATTCCAGAGGAACTCCCCATCGAATGATAGGGGTGGGGGAAGCTGGAAAGCAGGAAAAGCTCAGGCCTGTGCTGGCAGGGAAAGAGTTCACCACGAACTTCCAAACAACTTTCACTGGCTCGGATAAAACCAGAATGCAGGAAAGAAGATCCGTTTATGTGTGCTGTCAGAAAGATATATACAGCGCATATATATATATATATATAAACTTTGTAGGCTAAAAAAAACGCAAAAGCGAGTTGCATTTTAGCACTTACGGTTCCATCTTCCCGAAGTCAATGTTTTTTTTTAATGGGGTTTTGGTTAAATGGCTGAAATAAGGTCTGTGGTGAACACAAGCTCAAGACACTTTCACATTTTATTCTATGAATGAAGCTGTTACGTGTCTTGAAAAAGGCGAATGGCTAAATGGAACTACAGAGGCTGTCGGGGACATTAAATGTCATCACGCCGAAAAGGTAAACTCAGTCCACTTTTACAGCCTTGTTATGTTTATAATTGTGCTATTCCAACTCAAACGTCTTGGGAAAATGTTTTTAGATACAAACTGAAAGTTGTCGGAAGTTTAGTGGTGGTGACGTTGAATTCGTGGGAACGTGGTGTAGTTCGTTTATAGCCTACTTACTTCTGGCGACTGCATTTAGGCTAAAAGTTGTGTTCATCTGTGATAATTATCTTGAGGACAAAACGTGTAAGTATCATAAGCTTTTGTTGATCACAGAGCTTGTTTTTAGCAATAATCCAAAAGCCTATGGGAAAATCCTATTGGGCTTTCGACGAGGGAACCAGTGTGATGCTAACTTTCGGTTGGCCTACAAAGTGACGTCATACCAGTCCTACTCTATTGGAATAGTTATAAATTTCCATTTGGGTGCCAGTAGTGGTTTGTAAAAGAAAGAAAAAAATCCTAAGCAGTCAAAATAGTCATCAAAGATAAGGATATTGGGGGCCTCAGAGCCAAAGCAGTGGCATCTGAGATGTTCTATTTTTTTCTATAAAAAAAAATATATATATATATTGTTATTGTTATATGAATATTAATGTTTGATCAAGTTACCATTATTTTTATATTTAGAGGCAGAAGGCCATGTGATAGTGTATGTGGGTTCAGGGTTGAAGAAGAAGAAGCAGAGAAAGAAGAAAGAAGAAGAAAGAAGAAGAATCAAGGTCAATCCTTATAAATGGCTGGTAAATGTGTTAATGATTGGTAAATATTGACTTTCACCAGACTCATGACTCTTACCCCACTGCCAGTCAACAGACAGGTCTAAAACCCATAGAAGATCACATTGTACGACCCACTGAGCACAGACGAATGGTCTGAACAACAACAACATCTGTGTCTTTATCATCCAAAGAAAGAGCTGGAAGTGTTTGACAGCGCTGCACTTTTTCAATTATCCTGCGATTCTAATTACACGCTGTACACCAAATTGCCATCTAAAAGCTCGTTTCCTGCCCAGTGTGCAGCAGAGGGGGAAACTCCAGGGCGTAGCTGCACCAACACTCCTCCCAAAATCCTGTGGAGATGGATTTCTAAAAAACTGTCAGAAACACAGCTTCTGCTCTGGATTACTTCCATTATGAGCAGGATGTGAGGTGACCCCAGGTGGGCGTCAGTGACAGTTTCAGGTTGTGTTGTGTTTGGAGTCTGAAGAGCTGAAGGTTGAGGTAGATACTAGTCCTCAGGCCAGGCTGAATGAATGGGATTACAGGAAACTTCCCACCCACAAGGCCACGCTCACACACACACATTCCAAGGGAGGGGAAAAACCCCAGGTCCATGGGAGAATGGGAAGCACATTTGTTTCAAATGCGCGTTACTTTGAGCCCTGCTCTCTCGTTCCGTTCTTCCATGTGAAATCCATCACTAATGCATTTCAGCGCACAGCTGCCAGCGCCCGGCATGAAGCGGCCCGTGTGAAACCATATACCTCTAGACACATGAGTGCATATAATCCACATAGCACTGTAAGCTGGGTCACCAGCCCTCTATTTTTGACACTGCTTTTATTAAAGTTTCATTCAAACTTTTTTCCATATGTCGCAAACCTCAAAAGGACATACAATGTTTTTTTTTAAAGGGATAATTCACCCATAAATGAAAATTTGGTCAAAATTTACTCTGTCAAGTTGAACCAAACCATATTACCTTATTTTCTGTGAAACATAAAAGAAGAAATTTAACAGACTGTTCTAATTCCAGTGAATTAGAAATGTCAAGCTCCAATATCTTCTTTTGTGTTCCAAGGAAAAAGGAAAATTCAGAACAATGACAATTTTCTTTTTCAGGTGAACTACCCATTTTTAAGGTTTATCAACTTTACTTTTAAATGAAAGAAAAGGTCTAGCAGATATTCCAAAAAGGTAATAATTCTCCTCAAATGACAAATGAACTTTAATTTAATTCTGTGGGCAGCAGTGGGATGAACTGGACAGAAGCTACTCACCGACGACCATGAGAGTGAACTCAAAGCCCCTTTTCACAGACTTTCTGTACACTTGGTTGGGGAGATTTGCGAATCCCACGTACCCCTCAAGGTTCTTCTGTTGCTGTAGACCAAAACCAAACACAGTCAACGGCTTTGTCATGCTAGTCTGACAAAACAACACAAATAAGAAACACGTAGGCGGCCATCCATGACTACATTTGATTACTGTTAACAAGATGAATCTTCAAAAACAGAAAAAATGGGTTTGACACTTAAACAATAGCATAGAAATTTGGCTATAATAAATGTAATTAGTTAAAAGCATGGGCTTTAAGACAAATGATCATTTAAAAAAGATATTCGTTTAAATTTTCTGGAGAAAATGTCAATGCTTGCTTGTGCAAAACAAAACAAAAAGTCCACCCCATGTCTTTATAATAACCACATGGATAACCACGACTTGGTGGAGCTTATGAACAGAGTATTTTGCTAAGCAACAGTGAATAGCAGGGCAGAGTCTCTCGTCTCTATACTTTGTATTTGGTGTTTTTTGATAAACACCATAGCGAAAACATGTGAATACAGCTTGACTTCCTTTCTACTCTGAAAAGTGGGTGTCAAAAACAGAAAGTTGCACACAGCTGCCCTTTTGAACCGATATATTGTTTTTTTTTGTGCGTTTTGTCAAGGTTTTAAATGATTGTATGCATACTTACTGCTACTTTGGAGAGCATTCAGATCGTGTTGTTCCACAGATTGATGGATGAATGGATGAACGGACGGACGGACGGATCAGATTCCACCAGGCAGGGAAAGAGGTATCCACATACACAAAATAAACAGAAAGAGAGAAAATGAGAAAAGAAAGATAACCGCTAAAGTGCATTAAGAGGTTTTCACCTGTAACTGCTGGTCTGCGATTCACTAAGAGCTTCACCACAACCATTGGCTCAGGTTTGATTGACAGCTGATGTTGAGCAGCCAATGAATAATAAATTATAGAACACCAGGTATAAACATCCATCTCAGGTGATCCAATTTCAAGTGAATACAAGTGTGAACAGTCTCCAAACACTGTTGTGGTCAATCAAACCCCGTTCAATGGTCACATTATTACCAGATCAAACAAGATACATGTTAATACCAGGTGTAAAATGGCTAATGACCTATTACTGTGCTGATGCCAAATCAATCAAATAAGTTTGAGAACAAAACACATCTGTGGAAGCTTCTGTTAATACCCAACCTATTTTAGTTCTAATACAAACCACAAAAATGTACAGCACATAGTGTTTGCCTAGTGCTGAACAACTTAACCACTTCTCTAAACATACAGAATTACAGGAAGGCCAGAAATTGGGCTTCAGCACTAGACTTCCACAGCGCTTACGCTGCCAGTAAATTTGACAGTAAAAGTCATCTCACTGAATAAATCAGGCCTTCTCTGAATAGTATTTCTTTCTTCTGAAACTGAAAATCATCAAACATCTGTGATTGCAGCACATAAAAAACCCAACTCATTTGACTATCAAAACCTTCATGGCATTCTGCTTACACTACAAAAGGAAATGTCCTGAAGGGACACGTATGCAGCTGAATAGATGCAAGTTTGTGATGATGATTCAGAAAGTATGCTGCAACGCACTGTAAAGGTTACGGTAGCTCAGACGACTCATGCATTAGATTCAAGATCTTCAGAAGTATTAAGCTAGCTTTGTGTTAGGAACAGAGCTAAATTTTAGACTAAAGTAGTTATTCAGTGATGATCACTTTTATAAAATTTGCGAATACAAATTAGCGAACAGAATCTACTGGCCCGGTCAAGACAGTGGTTTAAATTTTCAATAGCCTTGCCTAAATTTTCACTGGCCCTAACACAAAAATGTAATACATCAATTCAATGAAAGAGGCCCGGTTATTCGTTGTTTTTGACCCATAACCTTAACAAATAAGCTTATGACACCAAAAACTACTAGCCTAACTCATAAATGTCAAATATTGTTAAAGACAAGTAATAAAATGAGAACAAATAATAAAATACGAGCAATAGCACAAATAAATACAACAGAACAAACATACAAAATAAATAAACAGCGCTTTTGATGTTTTTTCAAAGGTCCAACAGTAGTTTTCAGGTACAGAAATTGAATAGGCCTAATCAAAATGTAAAATAACACTGCATAGTCTTCACTGTATAAATTAAATATAGATTTCCTTATTAAAGTTACAAAAGTTATTCAGTCAAGAGCAGTGAGTGATTTTTTTCTTTGTCCTTTGTTGTTTGATTAACTTTAAAACATTAACATTAAAAGACAGAATCAGGTTTATTAGGCTGCTGTCACTTAAAGAACTGCACGGATCCAATACACGTTTTATTTCTCAACTGTTCACTTAAGACATAACCAACTATGTTTACGTGGATACTCGCCAATAGGCAATTCACAAATACAACTTTGTTGCAGCATGATCAGTTATGAAACTTATGAGAACCAATGCCATTTAACATCATTTACATGCACTTTAAAAGATCAATTTCAGTAGGAATAAAGCAAAAAATTTAACATCTAATTAATCATGTAAATGCTAAGTTGATTTGAAATCATTCCAGTCTAATATTAACCAGTCTATTATCCCTTTAAGATTATTTAATTAGGCTATAATTATTATTGCACATAGATTTTGTTCTCTCTTACTCCATTTTCACAATGGATAAGCAATGCTTTTTCTCAAAACCAAATGAAAGTCTGATATAAATGTCCTGCACCACTTCCTGCTGATGTTACCGTTTGGTGTTCAAGGGCAGGTGTTGAAGTGTGAGAAGCACTCGAGTACACACGTACTCTGTCTGATCTCACGGGGTAAACGGGGAGGGTGTAAATTATGTTCCTTCTTCAAGGCTAAAAACCTTTCAAAGATGAGACGCTCAGCATGTTTGAATTCATCTGAATTAACCTATACAAATGAACATGCAAATTGTTATGGTCTCACTCTCAACCACACAGCAGCAAAAAGCACCTCAGACCGCCATGAGGAACATGCCAGAGACCCCCAAAAAAGTCCAACTGGATATTCCTGTGGTGTAGCTAGCATTTAACAGAATTGGTCCACAAGGACTCACACAACCAAAAATAAAACATGTTAACGCTCACACATATGATATACATGACGACTGTACCTCAAGGTTACATTCTGGGCCCCTGATCTGGGTTATTATTGGACAGATGAATGGCTTCATCCAGTACATGGAAATAAATGTAAACAGTTAATCAAGACGTACCATGTTAAGTAGCTTGGACATTATGCAAAATCCTCCTTGTTCGTTACACAGAATCAAGGCATAAAGGTTTGGAACATCATGAGGGTGAGTAAATGATGGCAGAACTTGCATTTTTGGGAGAACTATCCCTTTTAGGGGAAGTTCACATCTCGCGTCTAAAAAAAGGAAAACGCCAAGAAAACACTGAGATTTTCACCAACCTATCCAAGAGCTCCACCTGGACGATAAGAGATTCAAAGCCTATTTCAGAGTGGACAAAGACCAGTCTGATGATCTTCTAAAAAAATGTTGGCCCAAGCATCAGCAAACAGAGCTTCTGCTGTGAAACCATCTCTCCTGCGCAACGGCTCTGGATTTGTCTGAGGTAATTAGACTACCGTTAGAACTGAAAAGGCAATGAATAACCATTGCCCACTGATAATAACTTTAAATTATTCTAACAGATTGGATGGATCTTGTCACATGACCTGCGGTGCGCTTGCAGCATTCTGAAAAGTTGGAAATTTTGCATCTCGCTGGCTTGTCACAATACTCATCCGCTTGTTGTGCGTCTAATTTTAAAATAACAAACTTGAGTGTGCAAACTAAGTGACGTGAACAGCAACTTAGAAGGAATTTTTAGATGACACCTAACCAAAAGCTTCACCTTGCAGAGATCAAAAGGGAACTAGAGAGAGAGAGAGAGAGAGAGTGAGAGAGAGAGAGAGAGAGAGAGAGAGAGAGAGAGAGAGAGAGAGAGAGAGAGAGAGAGAGAGAGAGAGAGAGAGAGAGAGAGAGAGAGAGAGAGAGAGAGCGACTGGAGTCCTGAAACAATGACATGTTTTTGTATGTGGCTTAACTGCCGGAAGAGATGTGGTAGCCTAAAACTAAAGCAGTAAAGACAGAAAGACAACGCAATGAAAATGAGTATGGTCTAAGAAACGGTGATGATATCCCTTTTTTAAGTAAAACATTTTAAGCCAGAACTTAAATGCAAACTGCACAGTTCATACAGTATAAAAAAATTTATTCCGATGCAAAACTGATAATGTGAGTGGTGTTATTAAGTTTGACCACGGTCAATCTGACTGCAGTAGATGTGAAAGATAATAATAAAAATTATGTTAATTCAGCCAGCTCACATACCTGTATTTACTTCCTGTTTTCGTTCGAAGTCCACAGTAGTCAATTGTCGAGTTCGCGCGCGCGATTATTAGTTATATTAGTTACCAATGATCGCGCGCGTGAACTCGACAATCAAAAATGCATTTTAAATTTTATTTATATAAAATTGTTTGTAAATTTCATTTTATTTTCCAAAATCTGTTTTTGAATAAAAAAAAAAAGAATTAAATCAAAAGAAATGGTGAAATGCTGGTGAAGTGACTCACAGAGCAGCTCTGGAGAGTTCATGTGTTCATGTCCTCATTCTGAAAATACCACCAGCAGCGTCACGTGTGCTTAAATTCCATTTTTATGACTGGCTTTCGCGATTTCGTCCATATTTAGCAGAAATCATAGAAAACCAGGATCTTTTCGACTCATCACAACAGCACCTGCCTCTGCCTGGTTTTCTCATCACACACTCAATGAAATCGGTCAGACAATCCGCTCCATAAAGGCTATTCTGACCACCCACAGTTCAGAGTCAGACAAACATTCTCTCTCAAGATTTCAGCTGTAAACTATCGGTATTCACTTTACATCCTACTCGAAGACACTATAAAGTCACTACCACATTCTGCATTCAGGACCAAAATAGATTTACATCCACAAGAATGGCAGACCCTGAGCCACAAGCTCAGCTGGTCCCACACAGCCAGACTTTTAACTACTGCCACAAGGTCTGATCCACACAGCATCTTTTTTTATTCAGGAACCACCCACTTAAACCATCTGATCGATATATTAAACAAACCAACTACACTGTTATGTTTAGAGTTGGGTAAACCAATCAATATCTTGATTACTTGCCAAAGTTGCCATTAAAAGGGTAGTTGTAGTTCATCCAAAAACCCTCATGCTGTTCCAAAACTGTATGCCCTTTTTTTATTATTCTGAGGAACATAGAATTAGATATTTTGAGAAAAAAAAGTTTTTGGAAGTCTATGGTCACAAAAACTTGTTTACATACTTACAACCTAGGGGTGTGACGAGATCTCGTGCCACGAAATGTGACGAGATTTCTCGTTGAGTGAAAAGCTGTCTCGTGATATCACCATGACGGAGCGCGAGGCTGAAATTAGCATAGAATATGCCACCGCTACATTCACATTACCGCCTTGACTGTCGTTTTGCTGTTTTTATAAAAATAAAAACCATTGTAAACTATTGTAAACATCTGTTCATTCACACAGTGCAGCAGGAATCACAGTGCACTGATCGCATGACGATGGCGGAGGATTAGCGTCTGATAAATGTCTTATCTTGTAGAATGCGCGCTCAACATCGCTGCTCCCTATACATAGAGTACGTGTGATTGTGAAACCAAAAGTGAAAGTAAAACACTGACGCGATGCGATCTCCCTGATGCGCGCAAATTAGGCTGCATACAATAACCTGTCTCCCCGTTTCAAACCTATCTCCGGACTGTGTAGTTGTGGCTCTGGTCTGTTTGCACTTTGAATATTGAGAGAGTACTTTATGGTTGCACTTGTTGCACTTATTGTTTGCACTTAATAAGACAAGACACTTAAAAAAAACTGTTCACAAAGCATAATTCATGTACATGAAGGTCTGACGAGACTCGTGAAATCATACAGGATAGAAGCCAGTCAGTTAAGTTTGTGGAAAAACCTTTTGCAGTGCTTGTATATTGTTGTCTTTCAATGCATTTTATAATTCATACTCAAAGTATAACTGAAATGACATCCATTACAAGATTATTAGTTAAAACGTTTCAAAATGCACCTGCAGACTATTTTTCCAGTCATGAAAAATAGTCTGCAGTTTTATCATTAAAAAAATAGTTTTATCATTAAAAAAATAATAAATGCTACCTCTTCATAAACTGCCGTTCAACATGTAGCCATATTATAATTTGTGCATATTGTGATTGCTATTAATTTCTACATTTTCATAAAAGATTATTAATTTAATTACTGGTATTTGACCTAAAACCTTTCTACAGATGCTCTTCAGTTGGCTTAGTTGCCAATATCTTGATTTATTGCCTTTCGAGGCAAGATAAAATCCATGGAATTTAGGATCAAATTTTATTGTATCTGGCTGCGTTTTATAAATGAGGCCTCAGACAAACCATGGGAAAAAATACAGAGTCACATGTGAATGGACAAGAACGATTCAAGAGGTAGCCATGTGATCCAAACATGATGGGAATAAAGAAAGAGCGAATTCTTCTCACTGAACAAGAGCCCAACAGGGTCTTCACCCCACCAGATCTCATGAGATCTAACTCATACGATCCTGCTGTGTGTTGCTATAGGACGAATTTATTCTTGGACAGTTCTTCTGTATGAAGACTGAGGCTTCATACAAGATGTTAATGTTGCTTAAAAGTAAAGGTAAAATCAAGTAATTCACATGCAACATCTTAAATACGAACTAAACAAGTGCAAGGGAGAATGTTTAGCATGACTAACCTTCAGTACAGTAAAAGTGAATTGCGGGTGGTTTGTGCTTGACAATCTACATTAGTGGAACTCAAAGTCAGCATGAAATCATAATTGATTCCCTATTTCCCATTTTTACTTTGTTAGCACACAGTACTAGTCTTGTAATGAACAATTAATCCATGCAAGTTAATCCACAAAAGAAAATGTGTTTGTCTTCGTAATCTTAGGTCAAAATCGGAAGATGTGCTTCCCTGTGTGGAATGGCATTCCTTCTCTGATGACATCAGTTTGACGGCTTGAGCAGAACGTCCTTAACCAAACACCTCCAAGCGTCAGTCTGCTGCCAGCTAGAGATGGTGAGGAGGTGCCCCAAAATCAAGCCCTGCCCTCTATTTAATATAATGTATGTCACATTACTGAAGTCGGCTGCAACTTCTGGTTCACCCAAACTTAGCTTAATCATCACCGACCGACAATTGGGAAGAAAAAAAAAAGTTGAATCGCAATTAATGTTTAAAATTAAACAAATAATTTTATGATTAATCAATGTACAAATTGTATCTGTATAGTGAGTTATTTGTATCTGTGCATATCTACCCATCTATCTATCCATCCATCAATCCACCCATTTGTCAATCCATCTCTCTATCCGTTCTTTCATCTTTTAATCTAGTATCTATACTTCCATTCATCCAATAGCGAATGATCAATTCTCTACATCAGCCAGGGTGTCCAATCCTGCTCTTGGAGGGCCACTTTCAGGTGTTTAGCTCCAACACACCTGCCTGGAAGTTTCTAGTGATCCTGAATACCTTGATTATCTGGTTCGTGTGCGTTTAATCGGGGCTGGAGCTAAACTCTGCTGGAAGGCAGCCTCCAGGAACAGGAACAGACCCTGACCTACTGCAACACACTCATTGGAATATTTCTACAAAGCTGAGAGTGACAAACACAAGAAGGTGTTCCTCCAGATGGAAACACTAGAGCTACAAATGTCTGGCCATAGCATTGCATTCGTTGCTTAAACCCACCCTAGCCAGTATTTTCTTGGTTTTCTGGACAAATGATTATGTTAACCCGATGTTTTGTTCATCATGACATTCTTTGAGGTAACGTTACCTTAGAAACAATGAAAATACCATGGCACAGGAATATGCTTATGATTTAGTTCCATTGCATTACTATCTGATACTATCATGTTACCTTACCACCCACAGTACATATTCGTAAGTGAAACCTCTCAATTAAATGCCTTATTTGAGAAAAGAGACAGTAAATGTCCTGATATGACAGAAAGAGTGAAGATTACACTGAAACCGAGAGCTTGAGCAGATCTAATTTTTGTCTATTAACGCGCTCAGGAAACGCATCAACCGCGCGCAACAAAGCACGCGTATTTAAAACTCACTGCACACATAAACCTATAAACCTACTTACAGAAGAGTTTGAGCTTAGTAAAGCGACAGGGACTAAATTCTCACCCATTCTGTTGACGCTCCCGGCCGCCTCTGTAACCGATCTCTCACCGACCGACATTCCCTTTCTCCAACTCACGGTCCAGCCCACGCGCGACAAGCGTACGTCACATTTCTTGCGTAATCTCCCTTGCGACTACGGTGGCGACGGTAGTGGCGTATCTTTGGTGAATAGCGTCCGCACAAATCTCGCGATATTTCATGTAAGCCACAAGGGGGGGAAATATTTTTTATGATTCAAATGCGGGTTGGGGATTAGTTTATCATTGCATTTAAACGGAATATTCCTCTGCATGTTGCTATTTGCAAACAAATTTCGGAAGGGTTGATACCTTTTTTAAGTTCACTGATAATAATAACGAAAACAGACATAAATATTATCGAGGGTAAAATAAAACAAATAAAAAAATCCATAGTAAAGCAACAAAAAAGTCACTGACAAAGCCGATATCTAAATATTAGTAAATACAATCGTATACAAACATGTTTATAAACGAAAAATTATAAATAGTGTAGATATGGCCCAATACTGAAAAGGCTCTGTCTCTTTTTCTTTTATATCTAGTCATGAGAAGATGCACAGATAGGCCTACCGCCTACACAGTAAATTCCATTTATTATAATGGTCTGGCTGAAGAAGACCCACATCTGACTCCGATTCCGTAGATTTAATTACCTTGATAATTTACTGCTATGGAAAGAGCTGTGAGAAGAGAGCAACAATGCTGCCACATTTTGGCCAAAAAATATAAAAGCAGCTACACTTGATGTAGCCTACATTCACACACGTTTTTCCCACTAGCAAAGACACTTTTTTAATGTGAAAAACTAGCACATTTTTAATAAATTAAATAAATACAAATTGTGAATACTAAATGTACTTTTAATTCCCAGCAAACATAAGTTCATGTCGGACCAAGGTGTAGTATCGCATAATGCTAATTTTGAACGAAACCTTAATAAACACTAGGATAATATTCAGTGTATAATGCAAAATACAAGCAAAATGAAACACAAAAACAGTCAATATTTCCTTAAATTCAATTATATGTTGCTACAATGTCCTTTGCAACTATTTCACATTAAAAAGGGACCAGTACAATATTTTTGGCCTAATGTCCCATTTTATGAGTTTTCAAATATCGCTAACATTGAGAGGTCCTTTATATTAATATATTGTAACGTTTCTATTTTTGTTTATATTGTATCCTGTAAAAGATTTTACACAAAAAGATAAACATGTTTATTTATTGTTTTATGTACAAGATCCACATCACACGTATAAGCTTAAAGAAATAGAAAATAAGGCACATCTGAACAATACACGCATAGCTTAATACACAAATATACTGTTGATCTCAAGCTTCTGCAACATTTCCACTCAGTTCTTTGGCCAGCTTTATATCCATCAGAATAAAAGGATTCTATAACTTCTCAACTTTTCACTCTCATTCATTGTTCGCATATAAGGACTTCCTCGTACATATGTGAGGGCATATCCACATTTAACCCCTTTAGTAGCAGAGAAGAAACTTTTTTTGTCATTTTCAGTCCACTGATGAAAAATTATTTTGATTTACACAGTGCTCATAATATTTAATTTTGTTTTCATGAATTAAGTAACGTCGATTTGGAACATTTCAGCTCAGTGCTTTGGCCAGCTTGTTCTCTCTTCAAAGTCACTGTGCAGAAAAACAGAAATATTAAATTATATATCATGATTTGTTGTTTTAATTGTCTCTAAGTATTGAGCAAACTTTAATTTGGAGATGAAATAAAACCAAAAAGCACTTGCTTTGATTTGTGATGATCTTCCATTCCTGCTTGTGTCATGAGATCAGCGACATTGTTCTCCAGGTCATCTATACGTGTTCCCATCTCATCCAGTTCAGGCATTAAGGGAAAATTAAATGCTTTTATCAAGAATAAACATGATATTCTATTGTTAGGTATGGTTTTAAAACTATTATGTAGACTACCGTTTAAAAGTTTGGGGTTGGTAAGATTTTTTTTTTTGGATTTTGGCTGAATTTATTTGATCAAAAAGGAGTAGGCCCTAATACTATTATTAAAATAATAATTATCATTTAAAATCAGTGTTTTCTTACTTAAATACATTTTAAACGTAGGCTAATTCATGGTAGCAAAGCTGAATTTGTAGAAATATTCTAATATGCTGATTTGCTGCTCAAGAAAAATTTCTTCTTATTATCAATGTTGAATGGTTTTTGTGAAACCATTAAAATGTGTTTGAATAGAAAGTTCAAAAATTATAATTCTGTAACACTATAAATGTCGTTACTGTCACTTTTGATCAATTTAATGCATCCTTGATAAAACTATTGATTTCTTATATGGCAATACTATGGTAGGCTATACGTTCAATGGTAACTAAATTGGGCTATCATTGGGATTTAGATGCTACTTCGAGATAAGCCTATACTTCATTATCCAAAAGTCTGTGATATTGTTATTGTGTTCAAAACATGATATTGCTATGGTAACAACTCAAATACAAATATATTTCATGCTAGTGCTATGACAGCGGGGAAAAGCTATCTCTTCTACAAAGTCAAATTATGTATCTGAAAAGATATTTTTGGAGATGATCTGGTCAGATAAGTTCTGAAACCTGCTCTGAAGTTGTTGCATTGTCGTCTCCATCTGTTTGAAGAAACGAATTGAGCAGATTTTCAAACCAATATTATAAAGCTCCAATTAGGCTATAAAATGTTCTCGTCTTGCTTATAATTGTCAAATTAAAAATGTAATAAAATAAACACTTGCCATTGCAGACAAATCTTTGGTGGCATTTGACTCGGATCCTGCCATGAGGTTGAGTTGGTTTATGTGGAAGTTGTTCGTTTCAGCTCCAGGCAACGTTGTCTGGACTAAAAAAGAACCAGAGTGGAACTAATAGGTATTTGCTTTAACCTCAGAAAACTTTGGTCAGTCATAGCCTATATATCCATCAAAATAAAATGATTCTATAACTTTTCAACTTTTCACTCTGGCATATAAGGACTTCCTTGTTCCTATGTGAGGGCAGATCCACATTTAACCCTTTTAATCCACATTTAACCCTTTTATTTTATTCTGTTTACAGTCCACTGTTGAAAAAAATCTTTTGATTTAGGCTACATAGTGCTGACTGCTGATAGGGGCTAATCTTTAATTTTGTTTTCATGAATTATGTAACGTCGATTTGGCACATGGCAACTTTATTCGGATTTCGAGGGGATTAAACGAGACAAATCTTGTGTCATAGTTAATAGCCTAAAGCAGTTTTTTAAGATCAGGCCATTTCACGTGTGCGTCTAATATGTGATGGTAAATTCATTGCTTACATTAATGCTGAAAAACTGGCATTAATGGTTCATAATTTGCCGAATCATTGTTTTTGTCATACTCTCGTCAGAAAAAAATCGACTGACATTAGGACCGTGCGTCTCATGAATATTAATGAGCGTATCGTGACGTAGTGCAACACGGAAGTACTGTTATGAGCATTAGCCAGATGTAGCAGCAGAGAGGATCACAGCGGCATAAAAATGATTTACAGCACTCCATTCATCTTTGCACAGATCACAAGACAGAAGATACACGCCATCTAATATGGACTCACGCTGAGGAACCGTTCCCAGCGATTTAGCAAGTATTTCTTTCCTGGAAAAAGGGAAGCACTTGAATGATTTAGTTCTAATGAGTCAGTGGATGTTGACTGGGACAATGAAAGTACATTTACTGTAAAATTGCATTTTAGTATGTGAACAAAATAGCAAAGTAGTAATGATTTATGTTTCATTAATTTAGTGAGCTTGTAGTTGCATTCAGTTGATTTAACTATAAAGGACAGACAGATACATCACTCAAAAATGGATGAAGTGGTTATGGATCAGATCATGTATGTTGTTCATCAAATGGTGTCTTGGATCGCATCTGTTGCCATCATATTTGGAGGAGTTGTGCCATACATCCCTCAGTACAGGGATATCCGCAGGACTCAGAATGCTGAAGGATTCTCCACATATGTTTGCCTGGTGCTGCTGGTAGCCAACATATTAAGAATACTATTTAGGTGAGTTATGCACGACAGCTATATGAGGAAACAATGTAAATAGCCTACATGACATATAATCCACTCATCTGCCTTAATTCACTTTAATGCGTATTTACAAAGAGACATTTATCTGACATCACATTTTTGCATAACACATGCTTGCTAAATGTTCCTTTTTTGTATGTATTTTTTAAAGGCAGTTCATCACCTATGTATACACTGCCTGGCCAAAGAATGTCCCTGTTTGGATTTAAATAGGCAAATGCTTAAGAGTCAATGATTGGATCATAATTGCACGGATTATTACTTTTCTAGTGTGTTATATGTTTGGCAGCAGTTCTTCAAATCCTAATTGATGGAGTGTGTAGCTTTTCATGTAGGAAGACAAATCATGGCAATATTTCAGGATGACAATGTCAGGATTCATCAGGCTCAAACTGTGAAAGAATGGTTGGGAGAGAGCATGAAGAATCATTTTCACACATGAATTGGCACATATGAGTCCAGATATTAAATTCATTGAAAGTCTGTGGGTTGTGCTGGAGTTGACTTTACTGAGTGCTTGACTCTTGCACCAGATCTTGACCAAAACAAATGTATGCACTTCTTGATGGAAATAACATCACAACATTTATTTCCATCAAGAGGTGCATCATTTTTTGATCAAGATCTTGTATTGATGACAACACAGCTACACACTCCATCAATTATGGTTAAAATAACTGTTGTCAAACATATAACATGCTAGAAACATAATAATCATATAGATAGATAGATAGATAGATAGATAGATAGAGATAGATAGATAGAAGTAACACTTTACAATAAGGTTTCATGTGTTGACATTAGTTAACTACTTTAGTTAACATGAACTAAGAATGAACAATACTTCAACAGCATATTAACCTTACTTAAAGGGTTAGTTCACCCAAAAATGAAAATTCTGTCAGTAATTACTCACCCTCATGTTGTTCCAACCCCGTAAGACTTTCGTTCATCTTCGGAACACAAATTAAGATATTTTTGATTAAATCTGAGAGCTGGATCACTCCTCCATAGGCTTCTTAAGGGATCGAAACTGACCGGCCCAAAAGTTATAAAAGACATCGTTAAAATAGTCCGAGTGACTACAGTGGCTCAATCTTAAAGGGATAGTTCACCCAAAAATGAAAATTAAGTCATTAATTACTCACCCTCATGCTGTACCAACCCCGTAAGACCTTCGTTCATCTTCGGAACACAAATGAAGATATTTATGATTAAATCTGAGAGCTGGATCACTGCTACATAGGCTTCCTAAGGGATTGAAACTTGACGGCCCAGAAAGTCATTGAAGACATTTTTTAAATATTCCATGTGACTACAGTGGCTCAACAATAAGTTTATCAAGCGACAAGAATACTTTTTGTGCGGAAAACAAAACAAAAATAACGACTTTATTAGACTATTCCTTTTCTTCCTTGTGGGCCTGAGACGAGAGTTCAAGAGATTTCCACGACGCATGCGCGAGAACTGAACAAGAAGTAGTAGAAGAAGAACGTCCTCTTCTCAGTTCTCGCGCATGCGTCGTGGAAATCTCTTGAACTCTCGTCTCAGGCCCACAAGGAAGAAAAGGAATAGTCGAATAAAGTCGTTATTTTTGTTTTGTTTTCCGCACAAAAAGTATTCTTGTCGCTTGATAAACTTATTGTTGAGCCACTGTAGTCACATGGAATATTTAAAAAATGTCTTCAATGACTTTCTGGGCCGTCAAGTTTCAATCCCTTAGGAAGCCTATGTAGCAGTGATCCAGCTCTCAGATTTAATCATAAATATCTTCATTTGTGTTCCGAAGATGAACGAAGGTCTTACGGGGTTGGTACAGCATGAGGGTGAGTAATTAATGACTTAATTTTCATTTTTGGGTGAACTATCCCTTTAAGTTTATCAAGCGACGAGAATACTTTTTGTGCGGAAAAAACAAACAAAAATAACGACTTTATTCAACTATTCATTTCCTTCTCTGTACGGCCATGATATTTCACGTAGTGAAACTACGCAAAGCTTCTAGGTTGTACGTCACGCATCACACACATGACCAGCGTCGGCCAATAGTGAGCCTACGTGTGACGTGCAACCTAGAAGCTTTGCGCAATATCACTACGTGAAATATCACGGCCCACGGAGAAGGAAATTAATTCTGTAAAATGTATTAAAATTCTGTAATTAATTACTCACCCTCTTGACGTTCTAAACCTGTAAGACTTTCGTTCATCTTCAGAACACAAATGGAGATATTTTTGATGAAATCCGGGAGCTTTCTGACCCCCTATAGACTGCAACGTTATTACCACTTTCAAAGCCTGGAAAGGTAGTAAAGACATCGTTAAAATAGTCCATGTGATTACAGTGGTTCAACCTGAATGTTACGAAGCGACGAGAATACTTTTTGTGCGCAAAAAAAGAAAAGAAAATACTTTATTCAACTATTTATTCTCTTCCCTGTCAGTCATGTTGTAAACACAGTGCAGCGCTTTCAGGTTCTACATCAGAACGTTGACTCAGTATTGGGTGGATCCTGCGTCAGAATCACACACATGCGTCGTGGTGCTCACGTGAACAGCATCAGAGACTGACATGGAAGAGAATAAATTGTTGAATAAAGTCAGTATTTTTGTTTTTGCGCACGAAAAGTATTCTCGTCACTTCATAACATTAAGTTTGAAGCCACATGGACTATTTTAACGATGTCTTTACTAAGTGGTAATTGCATTACAGTCTATGGGGGGTCAGAAAGCTCTTGGATTTCTTCAAAAATATCTTAATTTGATTTTGTAAAGATGAATGAGGGTCTTACGGGTTTGGAACGACATGAGGGTGAGTAATTAATGACATGATTTAAATTTTGGGGTGAACTAACCCTTTAAATATTGAGAGGTGCTTAAATTTATTGTTGGTGCACAAATATTTTGTCTGGTTTGTGCACTAATAATACAAAAAATTAAGTATTTTTGTAAAAAATCTGCCCTAACAAAATCTGTACAATGATTTTTAAAAGTCCTCATCCATTTATCAGTAACAACTTGAAGAAGCATGGAAAAACCTCTGACCAGTATGTTTGTTGTTATTTATTTATTTTTTCCAGGTTTGGACGTTACTTTGAGACTCCGCTGCTTTGGCAGAGTATAATCATGATCATCACAATGTTATTCATGCTGAACCTGTGCACAAGTGTCCGCATGGTCACTGAACTCAACACCAAACGGCGCTCGTTCACAGGTGGGAATCTTTATGACTCTTTACAGCCTCCGAATAAGTGTTATTTTCAGCATTATATTGAAGAGAACTTTTGTGTAACACTTTTTTATTTCAAAAATGAATTAATCATTTACTTTTTTCTAGTTTCTTTCTTTAAATGTTTTTTTTTCTTCACTTTTTTTCCAGTCAGTCTGTTTGGTACTTGAGTTTACAGGCTATTGAATTTTAGATACAGCCACATGGTCAGGGTCTGTCTTTGAACACGTTTCACGAGATTATCATACAAGGAGGGCCTTTGAAGTGGATGAACTTTGACCTTCTGACTGCTTGGTGAACATCAGTCTCAGGTTTATTTATACTTGAGTTGTGTTCTTGTTCTCAAATGAGCCCAAACACTGAACTTTATGTTCGGAATGGAATACGTATGTACTGTATACTGCATACACATTTTTAAGAATAGTATGTGATGCAGTATAAATTAACCCCTGGTTTCACAGACAATGCTTAAGCCTAGTCCCAGACTGAAATGCTGGTTTAACTGAAAGCAACTTGCACTGACAGCAACAATCTTAAGACAGTGCCATTGTTTTGTCTCAAGATGCACACCAGTAATGATTTTTTTCAAAGGCACGTTTATAAAAGCTACTTAAATGCCCTAATTGAACTAAGGCCTAATCCTGGTTTAGTCTAAGCACTGTCCGTGGAACCGGACCTATATGTCTCAAACTGGTGGTATGATGCTTCATTGTTGTTACATAACATTACTTCATATATGTTTCATTGAGTGATTCCGGGTGTATACAGAAAATGCATTATACATACTGTTGAAGTTATTGGTGGAGTATGATAGTATGCTGTTCCTAACATAACCATTAACTATGAGAGAACAAAACACACGGTGCATAAAGGCACAGACATATTCTGACTTTAGAAACGCTCCTTGGACAAATTTGATGAAGCCTTAAACTAATAGTCTCTCACTTGTCTTTTTACACAGGACATCCTGTTTAAACAGTTTTTATCTTTTGGTGTGTGACGTAGTACTGCTGCGTACTCTGTCTCTATGGGTTGACTGTTGTCTTAAGACTGACACGACTTCTCAGAGTTAATTTACAGCGCTGACGTTGTCACTTCTATATAATTATTTGAATCAAGATAAGACGACCCATTATTGGAATTCAAATCCCAAGGTTCCCATGATCTCATTTTAACAAACCTATTTGGTACACATATAATTATTGATCGCATATGTAGCTTCAGTAGTTTGATTGTAACTTACATTTTTGGGTGAATTTCATGAATTATGTCAAGAACATGCACTACTGGTCACACTACCAGTGTTTTTGAAAGAAGTCTCTTACATGCTCACCAAAGGTTTCATTTATTTGATCAAATATACATTAATATTGTGAAATATTACAATCTAAAAGAACTTGTTTCAATGTTAATTTATTGTTAAATGTAATGTATTTCTGTGATGGCAAAGCTGAATTTTCAGGAGTCTTCAGTGTCACAAGATCCTTCAGAAATCATTCTAAATATGCTCATTGGCAGCTCAAGAAACATCAATGATACCCCAAACTTTTGAATGGAAGTGAAAGTAGCAGCAAAACTTTTTTCAACTATCATAATAATACAAAATGGTTCTTGAGCAGCAAATCAGAATATTAGAATGATTTCTGAAGGATCATGTGACACTGAAGACTGGAGTAATGATGCTGAAAGTTCAGCTTTGCCATCACAGGAATAAATTACCTGAATGCATGATTATGCTAAAATAGAAAATAAATATTTTAAATTGTAACAATATTTCACAATATTACAGTTTTCACTATATTTTTGTTTAAGTGAATGCACCCTTCATGAGCATAATATTTCTTTTAAGACTTATCTAATGATTCCAAACTTTATGACCCAGATACACTACCAGTCAGTTTCAACCCAAATCAGATACAAAGTGACATAATATTTTGCTAAAATTAAAAGGGTTTTGTTTTTTACCATTATATTATTCTTATTTACTGTAATGTGATTTTTTTATTATTATTATTTAAATCATGTTTATTTATTTAGTTAGTTAGTACTATGCTGTCAAACCCATAATGAGAACGTGTTGGGAAAATATATGCTTCACCCAAAAATGTAAATTTTGTCATTACTCACCCTCATGTTGTTCCAAACCCGTATGAGTTTCTTTCTTCTGTTGAACACAAAAGAAGATATTTTAAAGAATGTTTTTTAACCAAACAGTTGACGGCACCCATTGACTTCCATAGTATTCTTTCCCCCTATTATGGAAATCAATGGGGTCCATCACTTTCTTTAAAATATCTTCTTTTGTGTTCAACAGAAGAAAGAAACTCATGCAGGTTTGGAACAACACGAGGGTGAGTAAATGATGACAACAATTTCATTTTTGGGTGAACTATCCCTTTAATGCTCAATTATTAAATTATAATAGTGATTCTAAAAATATGCTTTGTTTACTTAATGCAATATTTAGTATCTTAACGTTTGATTTTAGGGTGGGATATGACTCGGACATGTTTTCATGAGTTCCTTCTCTTCAGGGCTTTCTGTGTCTCCATGAAGATGGAGCGATGCAATCTATTTTTCCCCCTGCTCTCCCATGTTCTTATTTTTTGTTTATTTGTCTTATTTGTCTGAAGCAACAGACAGTAAGGACGAAGAAATCAAAGTTCCTAAGAGGCTGTTTCTGGGTATGTACTGATGTGTTTCCCCACAAAACACCACTTTTTATTATATATATATATATATAGATTTTTTTCCCCATCATCCACCCCAGTCATTTCCTCCCAGAATGACCTGTCTGAACCATATACTCATCTAATCCTGTCATTAATTCACAGCTCTCTATTAACCCTAATGTTTCACTTGCATGTACCTGAAACAGACATGTGACGCATAACAATGAATTGCAAATGCATGTTTAGTGATAGAGGCAGTGTTGCATGTTTTTGTTGTTTTGGATGCCAAAATTGTAGTATTGCATGCAGATAGATTATCATGAACTGCTTTTCAATTGATATTAGTTTTTGTATGGCTTGCATGAACTATCCAGTCAAGAAGACCTTATAATAATTTAGTTTTACATGATTCTAACAGCTCGTTTATCCGGTTGCCAAATCAGTAATTCAATCATATTTTATACTGCTGTATTCTACTTGGTGGAATTTTGACTTAACCCTTTAACACCCAGAAGAGTGTCGCATGGCTTTGGGTACTGAGCTGATAACAACTGCAATGTCACATGACAGTTAACCAACAGGCATGTTTTCACTGAAAGCATCTTAGTGTGTTCACAGCCCTACAGCACACTTGGTTTCCGTTGTTCCACATGAACAGCAGGTGGCGCTAGTGGTTTACACCTGAGATCTGCTGTTGCTGTCTGATTGATGGACTCTTTTGCATAAACTTCCATATCTGCTGACTTTCGGCACATATGCGCTTAGATTATTTTCTTCTTTAAGTATGGCCTCCATATGTCCATCATTTTTGGCGAGAATTCAAAAGATTGCAGAAGAATGAATCTTGTTATTGACTGTAGAAGGTGCCAGATGTCAGGTGTTATTAGGGGGAGTTATTATTAAAGATGCGCTTGTTTCAAGTTCAGTTCCTGTGCTGGTCAGCCAGCTGTTAATGTTGTCTCTTCTCTCTGAGCATCTGTGAGGGCTGACAGTCCAGTTTTAGGTTCAGTCATTTAACCTCAAATTTCCATACTTGAATAGAGTATGACCATCTCTCTTAGATTCGCAAGTGAAAATGAGCAGCAACAAATTTGACTATTTTTACTGTTTTTTGTTCAAGCTTGCTGGCCTGAACTGTTATTATGAGACACCACACTTTTACAAGAAAGGTTATATATAAAACTTTGAAGGGTTCTTTCAGATGGAAACAAATTTAGAAGTTTCCATCATTTTATTGATTTAGTTTAATCCACTAATAATTATAATGAAATGGTATGAATTAAACAGTCGTAAACATACAAACAAAAAATTGAAATAATCTGTTAAATATGAAAGTATGCAGTCATTAAATACATTTCTCTTTATATAGAACCTTTTTAGCACAAAGGGTTCTTTAAAAAAGAGTCAATAACACTAAGGTTCTATATAAAACCCCAATAATTATGATTATGCTTGAACTTGTCTATTTATCAGTTATATGTTAAGTCAGTTTTGTATTGTGACCAAGTGAAATAAATTGCTATCTGAAAATCATTTGGATTTAAATCTGTTTTACAGCTGTTGGTTTTTAAACAGGTTTAGAACAGTGGTTCTCATCCTTTTTGACTAATGAATATTGTTGCTATGACAAAGCTGCTTTAAAAAATATTTAACAGAAACCTGGAGTATTGATATATTAAATGAATTAGCCATTCATTTTGTGATTTAAGAAATTTCAAGAACTGTATGTTTGTCAATACAAAAATAATAGTAATTGAGGGAGCAAAGAAGTATGATTTCAGTTTTCACCTTAATTTATTTTTTATCATTTTAATCTAGATTATATTAGAATCTAAATTTGAGAACCAATGACATTAAGACTACGTTAGTCACTTAAGACTAGGTGGTTTGCTGGTTAAAGATCTGGGCTACTCAAACTTGGTAGGTTTGAATCCTGCAAGGGATATTAACTCACTATTAGTCCCATGGTCAAGACCTTTACCTCCGGTTACTCCAGAAGGGATTTTCCCTGTAATAATGTACTGCAAATCAATACTAAATCTAATTACTGAATTAGATTGTATATTGTATGCCCTGAAACATAAAGTGCATTCAGAAATGATTCAGACCCATTCACATTTTATGTTGAAATGCTTTTTAAATCCTTTTTCACATCAATCACCATACTACATAATGACAAAGCAAAAAACTAATTTGAGATGACTTTGGACATTTATTAAAGATTTTAGCTTAAAGCTACAATATGTAAAAAATTTTGCCGCTAGGGGTCGCTAACCTCTTACGATAACCAAGGCGTAGGTTGATGACGCAAAAGCGGAATTATGGAACTTGTCGTCATGCCGATTGATCTAATAATGTTTATGGATGAGTGAATACATTGATGTTTTTAACATGACTGTGGTATGAAGCAGGGCGCGATCACTAATGAGAGACAGATATCACACGCGAGTCCCGCGGATATAAAGGAATGAGGACATTTCATTCTACCGAACTACCCGCAAGTGCTGAATTACTACTCATACAGGTCAGTTTATTTGACGAATTAAACTTGTGAGGTAACGCAGCGCTGTTTCACTTGGTTTACTTTACACTATCACACTTAACAGCATTTGAGTGTGTTGAAAGTTATAATGTTATTCTATGTGTTAGTTTGTCTGTATGAGACTAGCAGTAAGCTAGATCAAGATTAGGATAACATATACTGATCATATTCTAACAATTCATCATGTTGAGCTATATAACATTGATTAGTTTTATGTACATTTGCTCACCTGTCTAGTAAAGTACATGCAAGAGCGGCGTCTCTGTCAAGTCGAAGTTAGTCGCGGATGTGGAGCTCTCGGCATCTCGAATCGCCACGCTGATATTGATCCTCGTTTTAGTTCTCCTTTTGTCCCAAAGTCTGCTTGCCATGGTCCATAATGTTTGAACGAAACAACAACAGTATGAGCGTGCCGTGCCGCTAGATGTAACGCAGTTGTCCACGTCTGTCGCCATGGTTACTTTGGCAGTACGAGCGGAAACCAGGGATAACGCGGATATTACGTCATTGACAGGCGACAAGTGAACAGACGAGCCATTATTTAAAATTGGAATTTCTCTGAAATTAAAAATCTTTGGGAACTTTTGGGATATTGTAAGTACACAACTGCAGGAAATATATCACACCGTGCAAGTGATTTTGGTATATTTTATTAAAAGATTCTTACATATTGTACCTTTAAGGCAACAACATAACAAAATGTGACAAAAGGAAGAATAGGCCTACTTTCTTAATGCACTGTACTAATTTACTTCAAAGTAACACTTCTAACTGTTATTTTATTATATATATATATATATATATATATATATATATATATATATACTGTATATACACTCACCTAAAGGATTATTAGGAACACCATACTAATACTGTGTTTGACCCCCTTTCGCCTTCAGAACTGCCTTAATTCTACGTGGCATTGATTCAACAAGGTGCTGAAAGCATTCTTTAGAAATGTTGGCCCATATTGATAGGATAGCATCTTGCAGTTGATGGAGATTTGTGGGATGCACATCCAGGGCACGAAGCTCCCGTTCCACCACATCCCAAAGATGCTCTATTGGGTTGAGATCTGGTGACTGTGGGGGCCATTTTAGTACAGTGAACTCATTGTCATGTTCAAGAAACCAATTTGAAATGATTCGAGCTTTGTGACATGGTGCATTATCCTGCCGGAAGTAGCCATCAGAGGATGGGTACATGGTGGCCATAAAGGGATGGACATGGTCAGAAACAATGCTCAGGTAGGCCGTGGCATTTAAACGATGCCCAATTGGCACTAAGGGGCCTAAAGTGTGCCAAGAAAACATCCCCCACACCATTACACCACCACCACCAGCCTGCACAGTGGTAACAAGACATGATGGATCCATGTTCTCATTCTGTTTACGCCAAATTTTGACTCTACCGTCTGAATGTCTCAACAGAAATCGAGACTCATCAGACCAGGCAACATTTTTCCAGTCTTCAACTGTCCAATTTTGGTGAGCTCTTGCAAATTGTAGCCTCTTTTTCCTATTTGTAGTGGAGATGAGTGGTACCCGGTGGGGTCTTCTGCTGTTGTAGCCCATCCGCCTCAAGGTTGTGCGTGTTGTGGCTTCACAAATGCTTTGCTGCATACCTCGGTTGTAACGAGTGGTTATTTCAGTCAAAGTTGCTCTTCTATCAGCTTGAATCAGTCGGCCCATTCTCCTCTGACCTCTAGCATCAACAAGGCATTTTCGCCCACAGGACTGCCGCATACTGGATGTTTTTCTCTTTTCATAATATTATTTTATATAGTAAAATAATATTATTTAATAGTATTTCTTAATATTTTAAATTCGTTTTTATTTGATATTTTCACCTTTCATTTTAATTTGAGTAATTTTTTTATGTGCTTTTGTCGTTTTTTTATTAGTTTTTATTATATTTTTTAATTTATTTAGCTTTGATTCATTTTATTTTTTTGTAATTTTAGTACTTGAACGAAAATTAGAAATGTTGCCATGGCAACTAACTGAAATAAAATAAGTTAGTTTTTCATCTAATATCTATATTTTGTTTTATTTCAGTTCACAATAACAATGTTTTTGTTTTAGGGGCCGTTTACATGACACCGTTTTCGACTAAAAACGTAAAATGTTTCATTCGTTTTGGCTGTTCATTTACTTGACGTGTTTTGGGGGCCTGAAAATGCAATGTTTTAAAAACATTAAGTTTCTGAAAATCATGCCATTATTGTCTCTGTGTAAACTACAAAAACACGGATTTGTGAATACAGTGGCTTCATCATGTGCATGCGTATTCCGTGTTCAGTCTATAGACCTTATGCGCCAGAGAAACGAGGGCGCAGCCATCTTTAGAATATTGTCTTTGAACTTCCATTTTTGCAGTCGCTCTGTATATTTCTATGGCATTGCTGTCCAGGAGTAATTAGCTTTTGAAGTGGATTTACTTAATGTAAAGTTAACGAAAGTTATCACGA